AATTTGCATCGTTTGGAAAAAAAAGAAAAGCGCCAATGCTTTCTTTTGCTACTATCGGAAAACACAACCAGAATTACCTAGTGATTAGAAATATTAAAATGAAAATGTCTATTTTAGAGACCTTATGTATAAAAATGTCCACATTCACATTATATTAATCGAGGGAGTTAGAACCTAAAAACATATTTCACACATTTACATTTTACATGCTCAAATAGAAACCGCTCTATTAACTGACGACTGAAAAATTGCTGACATACAGAACGATATACAGGACAAGAATAAATACAACTACAAGAAACAATTCTAAAAGTTTTGATTGCTCTTAACAAAGAATTGATCGATGGGTGTATGTTTTCCTTCCCTCTGAGACAACTTGCGCTTCTTTCTTTGGCTTTGGCTCGCAATTTGGTCATTCCTAACAACTCTGACAGGAATCAAATACATCATACCATCTTAAATGAACAAAAACATAAACTTAACGCGCAAACAAAATTCAATCTGAATATGAAATACCTCTGTCTCAGCGTCAAAGTTCCAAAGCAGGTGCGAGATTCCTCCTCGTGAAGCTTCTCAGCAAGATGAAAATCAGAGTGCTCTCGTCTTTCCTCAACAAAATCTGGCGGCATTTCTATCCCGCATATTGAACACTTGTAATCATTCACCCAATAAAATTGCTGTCTTTGATTGGATGAAGAGGAAACTGCCTCACCCTCCAGGTGGTTACTTTCGTTATTTACTCTATTCCGGATATTGCTCTCAACCTACGTAGCAAGAGAACATCTATTTTAAATGATTCTAACATTCCGAGCTTAAAATAGATGCCGTTCCACGTTGGAACCAGTAAGTTATTTCACAGAAGTTTTGCTTATATATTTATCATGATCAGCCAGATCTTCGTTTTCCTAACGCAAATACTTGAAATAAAAGCTAGTGAATAGTGAAGCTACTGAACTGTAGATACCTTTTTAAGACAATTATAATTTAGGACTGTACATTAAAAAGAAAAAAAAAGGTGAGCCTCGTGGTTAAAATTGAGTCTTGGCCAATATGATCAACTATCAAACAGTATTGCATACAGATGCCTACCTTGTTTGCTGAAACATCACTTGACGACTTATGAAATTTCTCCACTTCACAAGCACTATTTCCAACAGTGTGGTTATCATCATGCAGTTCTGATGAATCATTGCAATCCATCGGATCTCTGTGAGTATGATTTGTCTCGTGACAGCCAATAGAAAAATCAGATTTTTCGTCATTCATGAAGTCGTGATCACTAACATCTGGGCCAAAAGATATTTGCTCCTCCATATCTTTCCTAGGGCTAGAAGTATTTCTCGATATGATGAAGTTGGTAATAGTCGTTTGCGTTGGATCAGATGGAATACCACCCCCGTCTTCATTTAACTGAGACACCCGTAACCCTGATACAAGGCTATTAGAACTTAATTACAACCTAAGCCCCGCAAAATGTGTACATGACAATGCACTAATTCATGTAAACCAAGTACATCGCCCACCTATCAGCCTTAATGAAATAGGAAGTTCAGCCTTTAGCAGCTTTGATGCGTGTTTTAAAATATCCGCACTTGCGCAAATGTTTCTTTGCAAAGTCACAGCTCTTGTTCGAACCTGTAGATGGCATGTTATAAGGAAAATTTATACCATGAGAAACACACCAGTGATGAAAGCAAACAAGGGCAGTAAGAGTCAAGAGAAGAAACTGAATAAGTAACAGAGTTGCAAAGAAAAAGTTTGCATCTGTAGCCAAAGTACATAGCTCAAGTTCTCCATTTAAAGCTTGTCTGATGATAAAGAAACAGGCATACCTCAAAAGCAGCAGTTTTTAATTTAAGAGTCAGTGTTCTCCCACAAAGACCTTCTTTTTGCATGTCAGTAGACAACATTTCAGCAATTTCCTCTGCAAGTATAAAGTTTACAATATTTACTTGTTTAAGATACTGAGATAGTTCTCTTGATGTTTTATATGCCAGGTATATGAGTTAGTTGATTAGTTTAGAAGTCCATGCTTGGAAACTTTTCAGAACTTCAAAAGGGACTGGTAGAAACATTATAGACAGTTCACCAGGTTCCTACAAGTAACCGTGGGCTCATAAGAGAAAAGGAGGAGAAAAAAACCATTACCTAATTTACGATAAAGCAACGTTTCATCCCCTGTGGCAGAAAATGTTCTCTCACTGCTAATACTTTTTCGCAACCTGACTTCAGGGGTATCTGTCCTTCCAAGCCCCAGTCCCACAGAAAGGAAAAAATCTGAAGTGCAGGATATATCAATTTACATTTCTAAAAATTATCCTACACAAAAAATGCAAGAAAGACAAAGATAGACTAGCTTTTCTCATTACATCATTTTCAGTAGCAATAAATTTTTGTTTCTAAGCAACAAAAAAAAAAAATGATGGCGGGCTGCTAGCATGATTGCAATCAAATGTATGAAGACAATCCAATCTAAGCTCTTTTTTTTTTTTTTAAAGAAGCAAAACTTAGATGGTTCATAGAGAGGATTAGTTTCTGCTGACACAAATCTAAAAATCTTCTAGTGACATTACCACAAACTGGAAGGAAGGGGCCCTATTTAAACATTTTCAAAATGTACATCTAATATATTCTCTGATTTCAAAATGTGAAGAAATGACTAGCACGCTTGATGAGATATACAAAACTTAAGCGACGTTTGTTTCAAGGGTTCTACTTAGTTTAAGATCATGGTTCTTGGTTCTGCTACAGTGTTTTTCTCTCACAAAAAATTTGAATTTCAAAAATCAGAATCATGAATCATGATTTTGAATCCATGAACCAAACGTCACCTTATATTTCACAAGAGCATATCTTAAGTGAGGTGAGGTTCTTCTTTAGGCTTGAATAGGGGGTCGCCCTTTTTTTGGCTGAAGTAGTTGCAACTTTGGTGTAGTTAGTTCAAACACACAAACACAGTCCAGGTGGAGTATTAATTCCTGATATAGAAAGTAATGAAAATGGTACTACCTGATGTAGAATGAGAAAACAGCGCACAGATATAACTGCCCTTTTGTACGATCTCCTCAGATGTATTAATTCCCAAAGCATCCCTTAAAATATGTTCAGTGACTTTACCAATGCCTCCTATCTGTAAATAGAGTTTGCCGTGATGTTTCTTTGTCAGAATATAAACCGTAGTATTGAGTTCATAAGCATATATAACTACTTTGTGAACACAATTTCCATTACATTAAATGAGTTTAAAATTATATTTACCTTTCGTATAGGAAGTGAGGATATAAATGTCATCACAGCCATCCGATTATTTGGTAAAACAAACTGCCCATTTGGCTTGTTTATATCAGAGCAAACCTGAGAACCAAAATATGGGGAAAAAATTGTCTCGTGAACTCATGCCCATGTTTATCACATATATACAAGACTTCCACAACAGAATCACCTAAACCAAATCAACAGATGCTATCTGCACAATCAAAACTAGAAACAGGGCAAAAACAAATGAATTAGGTAGAATTACTATCGACTTCTGAAACTTGGTGCAGATACTCTCATGAAAGTAATTTAAGAAAAGAAAGAAAAGACTGCAAAAAATTTCTCCATATGTCCCTTCCAGTTTGAATCACTGCACCTATGTGATTCAAAATGGAAGGGATCTAAAAACAATATCCGAATTTAGATCCTGAGTTTCAAACCTTCCTTGATTTCATATCTATCCAACAAGCTCTAAATCCTGTTTCTTGTTATCTAGTCTAAAAATTGATTGATTTTTTCTTAAGATCATCCAATATCACCAGAATTCCTCTTGGCTGACATGGAATCTCATATATACTTCAAATATGACTTCTAAGACTTTAAAAGAGCATGAACCAAATTATTGAAAGCTAGCACTAAATTAATACTCTCATTAACAAGCCCTAGGGTCGTTCAGCATTTTTTTTCAAACAACATATATTCCTCACAAGAGGGAGGAAGGCGCACGCAGAAACTTTAAGCCAGATTTTTATTTTTATTTTTATTTTTTTTTATACAATACATGATTGAATCCGCAATCCCCACTCAAACCCCAGTGCCAGTAAACCAAGAGGTCTTAGGCAAGCCAGATTAAGTTATTACCACTGAATTTTCTTAAAGTGACAAAATACAAGTCATATCCAACTTTTTACCACTGAATTTTCTTAAAGCGACAAAATACAACTTCATCGGCAGATAGCCTGTAAAACCTTTGCAAGTAGACGATTTGGTGCAATTCCAGCACTACATGTAAGACCAGTCTCTTCGAATACGCAATTTCTGATTTCTTTGGCAACCTACAAAAAGAGTCAAATTTAAGTAAAGATGCCAAAGAGAAAGGGCATGTAAGAATAACGAAGCAGCAAAGTATATCGTATAAACCTACTTCTTCACCACTAGTGCCCTTTTCTGTACAAACCTCAGTTACATCGAGGTAGGCTTCATCTAAACTAGCAGCCATGAAATTAGGATCATACTTCCGGAAAACTAACGAGACCAAATAGATGAAATTAAGATTAGAACAAAGATTATCCTTAACACAACAATAAAGTAGGGATTAGTAAAAAGATTATTCCAAACACAGCCATAAAGTAAAAAGCCAAAAGGCCAGACCTTTTGTCGTTAAATCACTGTAATAAGTATACTTCTTGAAATCCGTAGGAACAAAAATTAACTCTGGACATAATTTACGAGCAATGAAACCAGGCATTGCAGCACGAACCCCAAATTTCCGTGCCTGCAACGTGAGTAGAGCATTAAACAGGTATACATTCTTTAATTAGACTGTGGGTTTAAATACTTTTTGATCTGATCCATATCTATCCCCGGTTTTAAACGCTAGAAACAATGAGAGAGCAAAACTAGCAATTAAGAAAACAGATATATATATATATATATATATAACATGAAGAAGTTCAAAATAATCTTCTGAAAGATCATTTTAGGCAATCCAAACCTCATAATTAGCGGTGGAGATCATAGACACACTGCCAACGGCCATGGGCTTTCCCTCTAACAAAGGATTGCTTAACGTTTCAACAGCTGCGTAAAAAGCATCCATATCTACATGTACCCAAACTCTTGACAGGTCTCGCGTAGCTTCTAGCTCTAGAATTCTTTTTTCTGCAACCTAGAATAAGATTAAAATAATAATAGCACATTTAGTGACTCCCCAAATTATCTTTTTTCCACTCATGGCAATCAACTACTTCCGAAATCCACTAATGCGATTACAGAATCTCCGTTCCATAAATGCATGTTCTACAAATCTGATGCTTTCTGAGTCAATGATCGCCAAAACCAAAACAGCTCTATAACAAATTGATAAAATTATAACATAAATTTCAAACTGGTGAGGTGATTACTGATTACCATCTGGTAGTGAGATAAATCTGGTGCAGTGAGCTTCGCGCACTGAGCACGCATATTCTCAATCTTCTGCCTTATGAAGGCCTCTTTGCGCTCCTCGTTCTCGAAGTACTTCGATCCTTTGCTCATTTTGTACACTACTCGCTGCACTTTCTCCTTGTCCACTCCGTCCATACCTTAAAAGCCATTTCAAAGCCAGACAATGAGATCGATCACGGAAACGGAAGTTCTGAAAACCCTAGATTTGGGAAGAATTTTACTTCAAAACATAAACCCTAGATCTTAAGCTCCCCAATTATCACTCTCGGTGAGTTCGATTTTGGAATTAGGATGAATAGCATACCGGCCTTGGCGTTGGTGTAAACGGTGTGGTAAGACTGCCATGGGCGAGCAGCGTCGGTGGACGAATCGCTCTTCGCCATTGTCGAACAAATTGCTTTCTCTGCAAGAAGATTGGTCGGCTGAGGTTTGCAATTTTTATATTAGCGGGAGAGAGCGCGAAATTTTGTAAGATAGGGCACTGGGCAACAGCAAGTTTGTGCTGATAGCGTACGTGGTAAGCAGCGTATAAGGGAAAGCGGGCCTAGCGACCCAGTAGGAGCAGTGAAAAGTGCAAGAAGTACTTCATACAAAGTGATCACTTTTATACTCTTGTCTTTAATTTAAGAATATTATATGAATCTGTCTATTTTATAGTTGTTGAGATAATATTATTTTAAATACATTTTTTTTTGTGTTGATAGTTAGGGTAGTTTACCAAAAGATAGAAATGTCATTATAAGTTATTTTATAGACTTATATACAAATATTATAACTTGTGGTCCTTCATTTTTTCAACTCCTGCATAATAGACATATATGTAATTAACTCAAAGAAAAATTCACACCAGGCACTCCCAACATATTTAAAAAAAGTAAAGGAAATAAATACCTTTTAAAATTGTATGAATTAAGATTTATATTTTTTACTCTTAATTTAAAACTTTTTTAGTCAAATAACTATAATAATATAAGGATATTAATCAAGAATGAAAGTAAAATTTTAAACATACGCACTGTTAATGGTAAGTTCTACAATTTTCTCATTTAAAAATTAAAATTATTTTCTCTTTAAAATTAAAATCCTATATAGTTCCATAACTACCCTTATACATATTTTTTTAACAGAAAATTCATTAATAATTGATAAATAGTCACAAATAACCACAAGCTACAAAGAAATTTGATCTTGGATATTGACTAGATCCACCAGTAAAGACGGATAAAGTACAATGACGAACACAAGTGTCGGGACTCAATGAGAAAAGACGCACTCCGCACAAATAAAATTGAGAGCGATCAAAACTCGTTAACAAGAATCATTATAGCCGATGAATAGAACCAGTCAATTGAGACAAAACTTAAATACTGGGGAGTTATAAAGATTTACTTATCCTTTATTTTTTTCAGAATTTCTTTAGATTTGAAATAAGATGTTGATCGATATTGATTGATTCATATACATTATTCTTCCTTTATTGTTTCACTTCTGAATAGCCTTAAATTTATATTAGGTTATTTTTACAAATGAATATGAGGATCTTTCTTCTCCCTTCAAAATTCGACAGTGGTTCATTACCGTTCATAGGATATTGAGTCTTAATGCTAAATCTGCAAATAACAGTCACAGCTTTCATGTTTCTCCAAATCGACAATTTTTTTTCGGTGATTTTTGGTTTGTGAATTCTACTGGCGTTTCTCAATTTAAAAAAAAAAAAAAAAATGGTGCATTTCTGCAGAGAATAAAGTTGAGACAACCATTTTTGTTATTTTCCCAGTTCCTCACTTTCGTTAAGCTCTTCTCAAATGTCTTTTGCACGAGTGAGTATATCTGAATTTAACGCCTTTTACATGTTGTAGTGTGAATATAATTTGGAAAGTATGGGTGTACAAAGGGGCATTTGTAGAATTAGATGAGATATTATTATTAAAAAGAAAATAATTTAAAACTTAAATATTTTAGGTGCCTTAATAAAAATTTTGGGGCGTCAATAAAATTTTTTCAGAAAAAATTACACCCGGTTTGCAAACCTATTTCCTGAGAAAAGTACATAATTTATTAATGTTTTATACATATTTATTATTTATATTATTCTAAATAATTAGATTTTATCATAACATTTTAGTTTCTTTTTATTAATTAAATGACAATTGTTTATTTTTTAATAAAGTGATATAAATAATTTTTTTTACCACTTTGGGTGATATTTTTTGGTTTTTTTTTCCCTATTTTATGTATTTGAGTTTGCAACCAGGCCTAATTTTGTATAAATAATTTTTTTTACCACTTTGGGTGATATTTTTTGTTTTTTTTTTTCCCTATTTTATGTATTTGAGTTTGCAACCAGGCCTAATTTTTCAAGTGACATACATATAGATTTAATTATATATATGTTCGTAGTAGATGAAAAGAGGAATGTCGAAAAAGGTGTGATATTTATGCATAAGTCTATAAAATAATCTGTAATAACATTTTTATCTGCTGTTAACCATCCTTAAAATTAGTTATAAAAATTCATAACCACCCAAAAAAAAAAGGATATATTTGGAATGATATTATCTCAATAACCATAAAACGGATAAATTAACAACATTGAACATTGTTTAATTAAGATCATATCCTAACCATGGAGTTTGAAAAAGATTATGCATTTACTTCAAATAATAAATATTACAAAAACTTAATAAAAAAATATTTTAAATTGCATTATAAATGTAAAATAGTTGATGTGAAATATAGCAGTTTCTATTAAAATATTTCAAAAATTTTCAATGATGTTATTGTAATTATATTAATTTTTGTCATTTGTGAAATATTTTAAAATTTTTCTATATTCTAAAATGACAAGTGAAATTTAGTTTTTTGTCTAAAAAGCCTTAAAAAGTAAAGAGAAAGTAAGAATAAGACGACAAATCATATATAAATCACGATGTTTGGACACGTGAGCAAAGTTCAAATCATAATGTGTAATGTGAGTGTGTGTACTAAAATTCGTACAATGTTGATTTTATTTTTTGAGTAAAGTGGGAGTTATAAATCTCATTCTCTATAAAAAGGGAAAAAAAGAAAAAATTATTTGGCATTTTGTCATATCTGGCCTGTAAAGGTATGAGTTTTTCATTGGTTTTATACGATCTTCAGATGGTGTTTGCCGGCTATAAACTCTGGAAACTTATGGAAAGACTTAGGGGAGTTACTTGCTCGTGGTGTTCACACCATCTCTAACCAGATCTCTCCTATCTAGGTTATGGATTTGTGTATAATGGCGATAGTTTCCAAATCCCTCGGTGTGTTCCTCCAGCTAGAGGGTGTTCTCCCCACCTCTCTCAGTTTGTGGTGTTTTTTCTCTCAACCAACGGTTGACTTCCCAACAGCTGCTAGTTTGATGTATGTGTGTATATGTGAGGCGCATTATAGGACTAGGATATGTCTCACTTTGAGTCGATTTTTCATAGCCAAATGTTATAGAGCCACTTTTGGAAAGTATCATCCCCGTTATTGAATTAGGGGTGCGTTTCTAATATCTAATTTCGTGAGGGGCACATGTTCCTATGGCTCAGGTACAGCCATGTATTCTAGTCCGTTGGTAGCCTTTTAATGAAATTGTCATATTTATCACCAAAAAATATATTTAAATATGGATATAAAAGATGTGAAAAATGAATAGCTTAATAAATAGATTAAAAAATAACATAGTAACACGTTTGACAATTTTATTGTTTATTATCACTATCATTTTATAATTAATTAAAGAAATATATAAATTCTAATATTTACTTATTAGTGGGTATCATTGTTTTAGCTGTATATTAATTTGAAAATTGTGATAAATTGAATAATTGACAAAAAATTTTATGCCAACTAATAAAAATGGATTTTTATGACATCCCCAGCCAAGGGACAGCCCTGGGGCATCCCTGGGATGTCCCTGCCACAACCCCGAGGCATCCCCGGGACAGCCACGGGGCAGCCC